GGGGGAGTGGAGAAGGTCCTGTAGAGCATCCCCATCCCCATCCCCATCCCCATCCCCATCCCCATCCCCATCCCCATCCCCACCTCCAGCAGCTCTCTACTGATTAATCCCCTCCCACCCTACCATATATGTCATCTAAAGACCCCGCCCACCCGGCCCCACCCCTCTTGCCTCAGCCAATCACCTCCTGGCCTGATGCCACGGGGGCGGAGCCAGCCGCGGGGTGGGCTCTGCACCGTGGCATGGTTTGTGTTGGGTGATAGAGGGACCCTAAAGCTCACCCAGCTCCAACCCCTGGCACGGGCAGGGACCCCTTCCACTGGAGCAGCTTGCTCCGAGCCCCTGTGTCCAACCTGGCCTTGAACACTGCCAGGGATGGGGCAGCCACAGCTTCTCTGGGCACCCTCACAGGGAAGAGCTTCTGCCTAAGAGCTCATCTCAGTCTCCCCTCTGGCAGGTTAAAGCCACTCCCCTTGTCCAAAGCCCCTCTCCCGGTTTCTTGTAGCCCCATTGGGGACTAGAAGGCTGAACCATAGAATCACAGAATACCAGGTTGAATGGACCTCAGGGATCATCTGGTCCAACCTTTCTAGGCAAAGCATGACCTAGACTTGATGTCCCAGCACCCTGTCCAGCTGACTCTTAGTTGCCAACATCAGGGAGCCCACCACTTCCCAAAGGAGATTATTCCAGTGGCTAGTTGTTCTCATTGCAAAAGATTTCCCTCTTGTTCTCAAATGGAATCTCCCCAGGAGTAACTTGTGCCCATCACCCCTTGTCTTTTCTATATGACTCCTTCTAAAAGAGGGAATCTCCTTCTTTGCAGCCACCCTTTAAATACTGGAACACGGTGATAAAGTCTTCCCTGACCCTTCTTTTCTCCAGGCTGAACAGTCCCAGCTGTGTCAGCCTTTCCTCCCGTGCTTCCCAGTCCTTTGATTATCCTTGTGATCCTTCTCTAGACCCTGTCCAGCCCACCTACCTCTTCTTTGTAGAGCAGGGGCCAAATCAGAGCACAGCATTCCAGGTGTGGCCTGACAAGCACTGAGTGGGATAATGACTTCCTTATCTCTGCCGGTGATGCCCTTGTTGATGTTCTCCAGCATCCTGTTGGATTCCTTTGCCACAGCTGCTCACTGTTCACTCCTATGGAGCCTGTGTCCACCAGGACCCCCAGGACCCTTTCCCCAGAGCTGCCCCCCACCAGATCCCAGCCTGTGCTACCCTCCTGGATTGTGTTTACCCAGGTCCAAGACCTTACACTTGTCCTTGTTGAACTTCATAAGGTTGCCAATTATCCCACCCTTGAAGCCAGGACATCCTGCAGGGTGGCTCTCCCTTCCCAAGTGTCTTCCCCACTCGGTTTGGTGTTATCAGCAAACTTACAGGGTACACTTGATCCCATCATCCACATCACTTATAAAGACATTGAGCAGCATTGGGGCCAATATCAATCCCTGGGGAGACCCCATTGGTGGCAGGTCCCCAGTTTGAGAAGGAGCTGTTCCCCACCATCCTTGTGGTGCTGCTGGTCAGCCGGTTCCCCCACCACCACACACCCCACTTGTCCAGACTGTAACACATCCGTTTCTCTAGGAGGAGGCTGTGGAGAACCATATCAAGACCCTGGGCTGCTCTAAAACTTCTCCATGCTGAGCTAGGTTGCGGGAGCATCCTCTATGCCCAGACACACCAGCATCCCTCAGCTCCTCAGGCTGTCCCCAGTGAGCCCTTTCCTGGTGCCCCCAGCAGCACCACCTCCGGGATATGAATTTGGCCCTGGGTTGGAAGGCTGGGACCCATGGGGCTGTTGAGTCAGTGCTGGGGTTGTCGAAGTGGGCTTGGAGCCTGTATGGATGGAGGGGGCAGAGAAGCCCTGGCTCCTAGGTGAGCTGCTGGGGGGCTGCTGTGGGGATCTGGGGTGTCCAGGACCTCGGTGCTGCTGCAGAGGAAGCAGAGCAGCACAAAGCACTGAGTAGCACTGGGTTTGGGGGGCTGGACAAGGGGGTGTCCTGCAGGAGCAGCAGGTCAGGTCTGCACCCTGCAGGCATGAGCCATCACCTCTGGCATGTCAGTGTGTGTGTGTGTGTGTGTATGTCCTGCATTACAGCTGGCCACGCTTACATGCCTGTCCCCATGTTCATGCATGTCTGCACGGCAGGTGCACACATGCTTAGCTACAGGTGTCCACCTGCATGTGTGTCCATCAGCATGTATGTGTGCACATGTGCACATCCATCTCCATGTGTACCTGTATTCGTCCATGTGTGTGCACACATGTACCTGACCCTGTGCACACACATGCCTGTGCCACGCAGGTGTGCACACCCCTGCATGTCTGGGCATATGATTGAGCATCCCTCCCTGTGTACGTGTGTGCATCCATACACATCTCTGTGTACACGTGTGTGCAACCATGCATGTCTGTGCATGTGTCTGTGCATATGTGTCTGTGCACCTCTGCATGTCTGTGCACGTGTGTCTGTGCATGTGTGTGTGCGCATGTGTGCACACCCGTGTGTCTGTGCACGTGTGTGTCTGTGCACCTGTGTGTGTGAACCCCTGCATGTCTGTGCACGTGTGTCTGTGCATGTGTATGCATGTGTGTCTGTGCACCCATGTGTCTGCGCACGTGTGTGTGCGCACCCCTGAATGTCTGTGCTCATGTGTGTCTGTGCATGTGTGTGTATGCATGTGTGTGTGTGCACCTGTGTGTCTGTGCATGTGTGTGTGCGCACCCCTGCATGTCTGTGCGCATGTGTGTGCACTCATGTGTGCACCCCTGCATGTCTGTGCACGTGTGTCTGTGCATGTGTGTGTATGCATGTGTGTCTGTGCACCCATGTGTCTGTGCACGTGTGTGTGTGCACCCCTGCATGTCTGTGCATGTGTGTCTGTGCATGTGTGTGTATGCATGTGTGTGTGCGCACATGTGTGTGTGCACGTGTGTGTGCACCCGTGTGTGTGCACACGTGTGTGTGCGCACCTGTGTGTGTGTGCACGTGTGTGTGCAGACCTGCATGTCTGTGCACACGTGTGTGTGTGCGTGTGTGCACGTGTGTCTGTGCATGTGTGTGTGCACCCCTGCATGTCTGTGCACATGTGTGTCTGTGCATGTGTGTGTGTGCACGTGTCTGTGCATGTGTGTGTATGCATGTGTGTGCACCTGTGTGTCTGTGCACGTGTGTCTGCGCACGTGTGTCTGTGCACGTGTGTGTGCACCCCTGCATGTCTCTGCACGTGTGTGTGTGCACGTGTGTGTGCACCCATGTGTCTGTGCACGTGTGTGTGTGCACGCCTGCATGTCTGTGCACATGTCTGCGCATGTGTGTGTATGCATGTGTGTGTGCGCACCCGTGTGCGTGTGTGCACGTGTGTGTGCACCCCTGCATGTCTGTGCACGTGTGTGTATGCATGTGTGTGTGCGCACGTGTGTGTGTGCACCCGTGTGTGTGTGCATGTGTGTGTGCGCACCCGTGTGTGTGCACCCCTGCATGTCTGTGCCCGTGTGTGTGTGCACACGTGTGTCTGTGCATGTGTGTGTGCACCCCTGCATGTCTGTGCACACGTGTGTCTGTGCACGTGTGTGTGTGCACCTGTGTCTGTGCACGTGTGCGTGCGCGCCCGTGTGTGCGCACCCCTGCATGTCTGTGCACGTGTGTGTGCATGTATGCACGTGTGTGTGTGCACACGTGTGTGTGTGCATGTGTGTGTGCGCACCCGTGTGTGTGCACCCCTGCATGTCTGTGCCCGTGTGTGTGTGCACACGTGTGTCTGTGCATGTGTGTGTGCACCCCTGCATGTCTGTGCACACGTGTGTCTGTGCACGTGTGTGTGTGCACCTGTGTCTGTGCACGTGTGCGTGCGCGCCCGTGTGTGTGCACCCCTGCATGTCTGTGCACGTGTGTGTGCACACGTGTGTCTGTGCATGTGTGTATGCACGTGTGTGTGTGCACACGTGTGTCTGTGCATGTGTGTGTGCACCCCTGCGTGTCTGTGCACACGTGTGTCTGTGCATGTGTGTGTGTGCACCTGCGTCTGTGCACGTGTGCGTGCGCACCCATGTGTGCGCACCCCTGCATGTCTGTGCACGTGTGTGTGCACACGTGTCTGTGCATGTGTGTGTGCACGTGTGTGTGTGCACACGTGTGTCTGTGCATGTGTGTGTGCACGTGTGTCTGTGCACACGTGTGTCTGTGCACGTGTGTGTGTGCACCTGTGTCTGTGCACGTGTGCGTGCGCACCCGTGTGTGCGCACCCCTGCATGTCTGTGCACGTGTGTGTGCATGTATGCACGTGTGTGTGTGTGCACACGTGTGTCTGTGCACGTGTGTGCGCGCACCCCCGCGTGCCTGTGCCCATCCCCGCCCCCCCTCTTTGCGCGCGTCCCCTTTAAGGTGCGGTTCGGGAGCGCGCGGGGGGGGGGAGGGGGTGGTGCTATAAAAGGGCGCGCGCTTTCCCCCCCCCCCCCTTCCACCCTCCCGTCGCGAGGGGGCCGTCGCGCGTGGATGACGTCACGCCATGGCCGCCCTGCGCCGCCGCGAGTAGAGGCCCGGTCCCGTTCCGCGCCGCTGCCGCCGCTTCGCCGCTTCCCCGCTCCGGGCCCGTTCCTTGCGTGTCCGCCCGGCCCGCAGCCCAGCCCCGCCGCTCGCAGCCCCGGCCCGCACAGGTGAGCTGAGCTGCTGCCCGGCAGGCCGCCCTCCGCCGGTTGCGGCCTAGCTCTGGGGCGGGCGGGCCCGAGAGCAGACGGAACCGGGGGGGGGGCAGCGGCAGTAGGGGGGGGCCCGGTGCCGCCGCCTGGGGGAGCGCGGAGGGGGGGAGCAGCCCACGGAGTTGGGGGGGGGCGGGTCCAGCGCGGGGGGGGAGGGGAGCACTCAGTGGCGGGGGTCTCGTCTGGGCGGGGGCACCTGCTGGATGGGGGGTGTTTGGATGGGGAGGGGGAGCGTTGGTTTGGGGGTGCTGTGGAAGGGGGTAACCTCTGCTGGGGGGCAGCTCTGATTGCGCCCCCCCTCCCCGGGCAGGACCCGCTGCAGCCACCCCAGCCTGGGGGCACCGCAGGAGGATCTCAGCCTGGCCCTGTGAGGTAAGGGGGGCAGTGGGGTGAAGGGTTGGGACCACACAGCATCATCGGCACTTCAGAGGGTCTGTTGTGCCCCGCATCACCCTGGTTATGTGCGTCACCCCCGTAGCACTGGTTTGTGTTGCCTGCCTGGTACAGCAGGAGCTGTGGTGTCCTTGCTGTCCGCAGCTGCTGTTGTCTCTGGGAGCACTCTGATGCAGTGCTGCTGCAGGTGGTTTGTATTCCTCCCCCAGGAGTTGTCTCAGTGGGGCTGTCTCTTATCAGAGCTGTCCTGTCAGCCTCCACACTAACAACGTTTTCTTTTGTTGCTGTCAATAGCTCAGCTATTTTCAAACAACTTTTACTGGCGCTGCTTTGGCTGTAGCAGGAGCAGCACCTCCGAGGTGTGAGTTCTCTCTCCTAGCCTTCCTAAGCTTTGCCTAGGTTAAGGAGAAGGGTTGTAGTCTAATCAAGACAACTTATCTGCTGCTCTGAGAGTACAGTTAGCCTGTTGAGCATGATTATCCACAGAACACCAGTATAATCGTACTTTTCTTTCATGGGACTGAGGCACTTTTAATGCAGAATTAGCATTTGCCTGCAGATTGCTGCAGGAAGAGGAGCATCAGTTACACTGTGAAAACAAGCTCCAGCTGCTCATGGCGCTGTTTTCTCTTCATGTTCCCTTCCCAAAGCCTGCCTGGCACACAGCAGTGGTTAACATTCCAAATCGGAGCTCTTCCTTAAAAATCAGCTGCTGGAAATGGCTGTCACCTCTTCAGTTAATACCAAAAGGCATCTCAGTTTTCTGCATCCCTGATGGCCACTAGGTAGCTGAAGTTTGCAATGCATTCTACAAGTCAGTGCTGCCCTAAGGAACTCGGGAAAGTGTGTAGTTCATTAACCTTGCAAACAATAGTAGTTTCATTCAGAGGAAAGGACTGCGTGCTGTGCTCTTGTTCTAGGGTCTTTTCATTTTTATGTGATGCCTCTTTCCTGCATCATGAGGAATTTTATTTCCTTTTCTTCCTGTTGTTGCTACTCTTCCATGTTTTTTTCCACATTGAAGCTGCTGCCCTTCATTTCTGTTTTGCTTCTGTTTTCCAGGTCTTTGTTCCCTAGGTGTTTTTGTGCTGTGTTTCTCACTTGTCCTGTCAGCACTATTTCCCATTCATTCTCCTCAGTTCACTTACATCCTTCACACATCCTTGTGGCTGGATTTAGACTGTGCTCCAGAACTTTTCTGTTCTGCATTAACCCCTGGTTTTCACATACCTAAATAACAGAAGTGTTCTGATTTTGCATCAAGCTGTTTGGCTGTTAAAAAGTGGTGTTTATCCTTTCTCTGACAAAGATTTCTGCCTGAAGGAAAGATGTTATTTGCTTCTTTCCTTTGTGTCTGATCCCAGGAACTTGGAGTTCTCTACTGGAAGGCTAAAGAAGTTGTGTCTGCTCTTGGTTCTTGCCATCTGAGTGGTGATCTGTAGGATGTCAAGACTGAAGCTGATGGCTCTGTAAACCTCCAGTTTTCTGTAGGTTATTCTTTGTCTTCCTGCTACTGGAGGTTCTGGAACCGTCTCAGCTGTTGGTTCCTGTACTGTTTCCAAGGTGTATTCCTTGTTCGCTTGGAAAAAGCTTTTTGTGGCACCATATAAAGGCCTAACCTTGGAGGGAGGAATGTAATGAATGGAAATAATGCTCACCAGGAGTTTTTTTTCCTTGATGAATGTTGCAAATCATGTCTTTAACTCACAGCTTTATCCAAGAGGTGATGCAGTGGGTTAGAGTAAGCTGCCATCCTTTCCATGCTGCTTCCAGTTTGTGTGCTCCCAAGACACTACCTGCAGCTGCAAGTCAGTTGTTAGTTGTACACAAAGCTTAACTCTGTTGGCTTAAGTGAAGATGCGGCTCAGATCTTTCTTGAGTTCTAGTTGGAAACAGCACAAAGTCATAAGAAACAGCATTTGAGCCTCCTGCCAGCAATATTCAGTGTTGAGAGCCATGGATCCAGAATGCAGTCAGTGACACACTGAGCTGCCTCGGAGTAGTGTCCAAGGTACATGTGTGACCACGGACTAAATTTTGTTTGGCATTTCTTCCTTCTGGTTTTGTACCTTTTGATTTAAGAGAATAGAAATTGGGCTTGATCTTGAAAACAGACCTGCTGCTAAGAATTCCAGTGTTCTGACTCATGTGCCTCTTGCCCGAGGCAAATCACCTAACAGAAGTGTAATGTTAAAAATACTGTTTAAAATGCATTCAGGGATTACGTGGCAGTATTGAAGTTGAGTTTTAAAAAGCGTCTTAAGTAGAAAAGGGCTCTTCTTTTATTGCCTTTAGTGCTGTGTCAGGGCTTCTTAATCTCAATGCTGTATTTTAAATTTAAGAATCTTGTATATCATTAAGCTTTGGGAAAATATATTGTAGGATGGCCAAAGCAGATGAATTTAAGTTTTTGTAACACATCCTCAATGTACAGTGCCATTTTACCTGTGTGAGGGAGGAAATCTCTGTCATTTTAAAGTTTTCCAGTAAGACTATGGGACTCGGTGAGAGCAAGATGGGCCCCTTCATTGTTGCATCCAGGTCCTTGCAGGTGAGGATGGCTGTGTGAATGCCTAGCTTAGAAAGAGCATTTCTATTCCAGGGTATGCAGTGAAACACTGACAAAGTTAAGGAATAGTTAATTCATTTTTCCCTACTTTGAGAAATACCAGAGCTCAGTCTGTGAAACTTCAGCACTGCCTCCTGTTGCATATATACTGTGTAACTAAAAGCTTCCTTTTTCTGCCAGACCTGACTCTTTGGAGCTGCTGTGCAGGGACAGGGAGAGAAGCGAGGGACTGCAAGGAGAAAAGGCAGGTTTGCTGCAGATAATTGCTGCTGAATGTCCCCTGGGACACCATGTTGTTCTAGCCCTTTTTATCCTGCTCTTAGCTGATGCTATGCATGTCTCTTCAGAGTGCTTCCCATCATTTCTGGATACCCAGTGACCAAAGGGTCAGACTTAGATTTGCAAAAGCTGCCTGGTGTTCTCAGCTATAGCTGGATGCAGCGGGGTTCTGCTTGGGCTGTGGAGCATGATGCAAAGGCACTGCTACTGAAAATGAGATGACAAAGCCCCAAGTCTTGTTTTCAAGGGATTTCTTTACTTCATATTTTTGGTAGACTATTCTGTAATACTGCCTGCTCACAGTACTGGCAGGAGCACTGCAAGCTGACAGGGGCTGGCTGAGGACATGAAGATCCAGAAGGAACAACTGGAGGGAAAGTCCTGCTTAACCTGATTGATACCTGTGGTGACAGCAAGTGCCGTGTGGCTCACACCCAGGGGGGTGGCATGTGCTTACTGCAAGTGAGATGGCTGGAAAGTTGAGCTGCCAAATCCTCATTTTCTTCACTGAAAACACGTGAGCTGCTTTATAAGGGGCTTTCCACTCAATGAGGCATGCACAAGTGATTCTAGAGACAAAGACACATTTTGGGCTGAAAGTGCACCCTACTATTGTATTGGCTCCAAAGCCTCTCTATAGAAAGGCTGTATCAGCTTGCTTAGCCTAGCAAAAGGAGGGTTTTGTAAGTGTCATCTAAAATGCTTGATACCTGTTCTGAACTAGCCTGCTTCTTCAGATATGCAGAAAATGAACATTTGATACACTGAGGAATTGAAGTCAGTTTTGGAATAGTGTGGCTTTGCCTGAACTATCTGTAATTTAAAGGTAGCTCTGAAGATGAAACACTAAGTGAGAAGTATTACTGTATACCTGGTTCTTGCCTCATTATCCTAAGTTACAAGTCAAGGAATCTTATCTGTAGGTTAGTTTTTTTTTCCTTTATAACTTGTTTTGAAGACAGTAATAAACTTGCTTGGTTTTAAGGAGCAAAAATTCCACCCTTATGATGAGGGATGAAACCTGTGGATTTCTGCTCTACTGTTTCTGCTCTATTGTGTTGCTCGTTTGAAATACTTCTATCTAGTAATTTTTCTTATCTTTTTCCTGGTATTTGTATGTTTAGGTGAATGACATTGGAAAGCAAAAAAATGCAAACACACACTAGGAAAACTTCGTAGGAGTCCAGAGATTTAGTATAAACTGATTTGCAGATTATTCTGAGACAGTGCTTGGGGCACGCGCTTTAAATGGAGTGAAATTTGCTACCATGCAAAGAATAAATTCACTGGAGCTAGAAAGGAAGCTTGAGTGAGTAGAGCAAGTACTCCAGTGCTTCACAAAATCCATGCTGTGATACTCTTGCCTTTCCTAATGTTCAACTCTTTTTTTTTTTTTTTTTTTTTCTTTTTACAAACCAGTGACTACAAGTAACACTGACTAGCTCAGTGATGAGGCATTCTCCCATCTCAGATCCTGCTTCTGTGATGCTGCTGTCGCCTGTAAGCTGCTTGTTTGAATGCTGTGCCTTGTTTCTTTGCTCTCCTCTTGGGCTCAGAGCCTTGGGACTGCGCAAGGCTAAGGAATGGCTGGAGGACACTGTCTTTACCTCCCCTGTTGCAGGAGGAGCTGCTGTGGCAGTGAGTTAGTGAGAGTCTACCCTAACATTTGGATGGCTGCTAGGGCAGTATCTTGCCATCATGCAGCAGAAATGCTGTCTAGTCCTGTTGCACCATTAGCCTGACAGTTTTCTTTAAATTTCCAGCTCCATATTTTTTTTTCCTGCTTATTTTACCTTTGCATATCATGAGGTTTGCTTTGGGGTATTTCCATGCAGTTGCATATGTAAGATTGAAGAAAAAATATGGTTCTTTGAATTTTGGGGTACCTTTTTCTTGACTATTGATTAATAGCCCTTGGAGACTGGCTGAACAGTGGGTTTACCAAAGTAACTACCAAATATTACCAAATAATATTTTATTTACCAAAATAATTCAGCATAAAAGGTGGTGGAGGAGCTCTCTGACGAGGACTTTTTGAAGTGCTTTCTGTGCACTGCATCACTGCTGGCACAGACAGAGGCACTGAGGAGGGCATAGCACCTGTTGCTGAAGGGAAACTTGCTGTTACTTGAATCTGGGGAAATCCACACCAAAACCAGCCTGCATATGATCCCTCTTCAACTGAGCTGTCATTTATTGTGTTTCTTATAATTTCTGTCAATGGAAATTAATAGGAAGTGATTGTAACTGATGGATGCCCTGGGGTTTTATAATAGTTTTAATAGCTGCCAGTGGAGGTGAATGTTTTATACTTATCACCTTAGCTGGTGGTGAGAATCCACTCGCACTTTTTTCCCCCCATCCCTCTAAAGGTCTTAGTGCCGAATGCAGAAAGGCATTTGGTTCACTTCAGTGCTTTTTCTTTGGTGCTGCTTGTTTGCAAGAAATCAGAAAACAAATTTCCTGAGTACATCTGCCCTTGACAACTTGTACATTTCTCCTGGCCTCTTAAGTCTGACCTTTCAGATGTAATATGCTAAGTTGTTCTGTGTGCACATAAAGTGTAACTTCTTAGGCAATTAAAATCGCTGCCATAAACTTGATCTTAAAGCCAGTAATAATTTGTGCAAGCATTTATGAACTCAGCATCAACTTTTATATACCCAGAAAGAATATAATTTGTTTTGGATTGCATCCTGTTTAACCGCCCAGAGCCGTTATCACCAGAGGCAATTGCTGTCTTGTAATTTGGATTTTAACTTTTCAGCAAAATCAAAACTTCGGTTATGAGTAAGAGCCAACTTCAGATGTGTGGAGAAACTGGAGCAGCTGGTAGGAAACTCAGAATATGATTCTTCTGCTCAAATGCTGTCGTGGTTTAAGCCCAGCTGGTAATGCAGAACCTTGCTCACTCCCCTTGTCTTCCTCCCTCTGCTCCCAGAGGGATGGGGAGGAAAATCGAGAGAAGATAACTCCCATGGGTTGAGATAAGAACAGTCCAGTAACTAAGGTACAACACAAACTACTACTGCTGCCACCAATAATAATAATAATGATAAGGGAAATAACAATGGGAGAGAATACAACTGCTCACCACCCCCTGACCAATACCCAGGCCGACCCAAGCAGCAATCTAGCCCTTCTGGGTAACTGCCCCCACTTTATGTACTGGGCATGATGTGCTGTGGGATGAAATACTTCTTTGGCTAGTTTGGGTCAGGTGTCTTATCTCTGCGTCCTCCTGGCTTCCCCTCCTCCCTGGCAGAGCATGAGACTCAGAAAGTCCTTGGTCAGAGTAAACATTACTGAGCAGTAACTAAAAACACTGGCGTTATCAGTACTGTTCCCAGGCTGAAAGTCAAAACCACAGCACTGCACCAGCTACTAAGAAGAAGAAAAATGACTGCTACTGATGAACCCAGGACAAATGTTTAGATCATTCTTTATGGGTTATCAAATATCTGTGCGGGGCTTTGAAGACATAAAACAGAGCATGGTTGATAAGTACTTACATAAAGACTTCTTCTGGGTGTGCTTTTCATTGTGATTTTTCTCTGCCGACCTCCTATAGTATAATGAGCAGCATTTTCTTGAGTGTGACTTTCATCTTGAGAGTTTGCTGCAAATACCAACTCAGCATGTCTTCACTAGGGTGAGTACAAGAGATGTTATCTCAGTGATGACAGTGCATCTGGCAGCATACAGGACGTAAATACAACAGCCCTGGTCCTTGCAAGTTCATGAAGAAGCAAATGAGTAGCATGGGTAACAACATTGTGCCTTCCTGATTTCCAGGCACAGGCTCTTGACGCACGGAAGAGATGCTGCATGTTCCCCATGCTTAACCTCCTGCTGTATTTCAGCACAGAGCTCCCCAATTTTGTTACACCAAAATGTATTGGGGCTTGTATGATGTGAAGTCTTGGATTTGTTTTTGTGGTGTTCACTGTTGTTTGCTGTGGCTTAGCCCACCTCCTGTCTGTTCTTGCTCTTTAATGGTAAATAACCTTTACTGTGCAGAGCTAGTTGGAGGGGCATGGCAGGTAGAAGTGATAGTGTGGGTCAGGAAAAGGTTAAGTAGCACAGAGCTGCCTGGTGTTATAACTCTATTTCACGAAGTGTTGCTTGGTGTGCCTAAAGGAGCTACCAGGGTCTTGTAGCCTTTCTGCATCAAGAGTTGACAATAGCAGGTAAAAATCTGGTAGTTTAGGCCATGTTTTTTTGTTGCACCAGCAGTAAATGTGCTTGCAAGGAGCTTATAGCTAGGAGCAGCTGGAGTAAAACATGAAACATATTGAGATGAAGAAGTCCTATTGATTTGTAACCCTGTGGCTTTTTGTTTCCTAAATATGCTTCTGTAAGCCTTGGTTTGTCTTTAGCTTTTAATTTCTGTCTGATGGCTGCCCAAGCTTGTTCCTGTGCAGACCTTTGGGTTTGGAGGAGGAGGTAGCATACAGTGAAACGGTGAATTTAGTTCCCTGGAAAAGTGCCACCTTGAGAGGAGCCAGTGCCTCTGTTGAACCATTCTACTGATACAAGCAGAGAGCTGCAAGTGGCTGCTTTTGTCTCTCTAAGCACTGGCTGGCTCGGTGCTGGCAAACCTGCTAGGACACCTCTCTCTGCCTGGGCTCTTCTGAGGTAGCCAAGCACTGTGGTTATTGCTGAGGGGAGTGAGGAAGGAGTTGCCATCATTTATAAGGCTGAGTACATGCTGCAGCAAGAGACCACAGATGAAGGGTCAGAGTTCTTAATCACCAAGAGCATTTGTCTAAATGTAAACCAGTAATCTTCCTAGTAACAGACAGCTCAACCAGTTCCTTGGGTCAGGCAGTTCTAGAATTCATGGGATTTTTTTGTTTTCCGGAGTAAAACAAGCATATATGTGGCTTGGGTTCTTTTTCTGGCTTTGCATCTTGTCTCTTCCTGTTGCATTTACTGTGCTTGTTCTAAGCAGACATCTAATTTTTAACTCGCTTGTATTGAGCACATGTTCATACTGAGCTTCTAGCAGAATTGCATGGTGCAGAGTTATGAAGTTGATCATCTGTAAAGGAATTTTGAATCTTTAGTCTGTAAAGCAGCTGGAGATTAGGTAGCAATACATGCACTGTCTGAATTAAACCCAATTGAAAATCCAGGTGGTTTTGTGATTGGATACTGCCTTTGCTTTCTTATCTGTTCTGTATGCAATGTAAAAGATCCTGTAGAGATACAGGCTATTTTTTCAGCATCACTGCAAGTTGTGCTCCTGTATGTCTTGAGTCTGTAGGGCCATGTGCTTATACTTGAAAAATACATCTTGGAGTTTCAAACTGACTTGGTGAATGCTAGAGCTTGTAGGTAAAATTCCAACCTCAAGCTCCGTTGTTGTATGTGAAGGGTGGCAGACTCTTGTCTAGTCTGGAACAATATCGAAATCAGTTTCTTATGCAGCTTAAACTCTGTGTTTCCTTCTTGAAGGTCCTGTGATAAACCATGTTAATGAATTCAAGCAATGTTTTCTTCTTTAGGAGGTGCAATACGATAGTACAAATTCTGCAAGATGAACCTTCCTTGATGTCTTCTATCTTGCTCCCCATAACTAGTGTTGTTTTCTACCCTCTGCAGACTATTGGGTACTGATGGATGTTTCCAACAGCCCTGAGCGAAACCCCTGCTCTCCTGATGAAGAAGACCAGCAGCTTTCTGATGAGGAAGTCCTGAAGGAATGTTGTTCAGACCGTGAACTTGATGGAGAGGGTGGGCAAGGCAGCATTATGGGAGAGGAGGAGGATGCAGTCAGGGGATTGGGCCATGGTGAAGAGGAGAACCGCTCAGATGAAGAGGACCGTTTAAGTGAGCCTAAGTCTCACCAGTCTGACAACAATGAGCAGAGTGGGGAGCTGAAGAGCCCTGCACCTCGCAAGGGTGAGGAAGAAGACAGGACAAATGATCTTGGTGATGAAGCATCCTCTGTCACCCGTGAACTTGATGAGCATGAGTTGGACTATGATGAGGAAGTTCCTGAGGAACCAAGTGCTGCTGCTGCAGAGGAGGATGGTGAGAAAGCTGCTGGTGAGGATGATGAGGAAGAAGAGAAAGGAGATGATGCTCATGAAGATGAGAAAAAATCCAGTAGCAAAAGTGATGATGAAAAGGATGGCCAGGATCCCCTCAAGGAGAAGAAGAAAGAAGAAGATGATGGAGAAATTGATGATGGAGAAATTGATGTAAGTAGGAGCTGGTCCAAGTGGGCAGAGCCCTACAGGGAAAGACCTGTCCTCGTGTTTCTGAACTGTTTGGCTCTTAGACTGCCATGCCTCCCTTCTTTGACATGAATTAGCTGTGTTAGCTGTGTCCCCAGTGTGCAAGTAACACACTTTCTCTCTGGAGGTAAGACCATACTGCATACCAAATCCTAAACTTGGTGGGTGGAATGTCTGGTGCCGTGTACTGTAGAAAAGCTTTGTGCCAAATACTGTCAGAGGCATCACAAATAAGCTTTGTTCCCATTGAACATGGAAGGGCTCCAGTGCTTTAAGAAACTATTTTGCCTCATCTTTTGGAGGACTTTTGAATGATGCTGACAGCAGATTACTTAGCTATGGATTAGGTGTTCATAAGCTGTCTCCTTGCTTGAGGTTGAGAGGCTGGTGCTGGAGAGTGGAAGCCTGTGGCCCTGAGATGGTTGGGCTTTAGCAGCATCTGGATGCATGGAAGAGGAGCAGAAGGTGCTGGGCTCTCTAGAAGGTGCCTAACCGGGTGGCCCCTGCATGTGATTTAGAGGGTATTTTTAGTTATATGCAGTCCCAGTGGCTGCTGTTTCACAGCTGAGGACAAACAGCTATTTAATAAAATCAAAACTGGGGTTTAATTGCCTTGGTGACCAGGGCAAATAGCACTCCTTATTCATGTTTGTCTTTATGTGTTTAATACAGCTTAATACCAGTTTCCCTCTTGCAGGCAGAAGAAAACAGGGCAGAGTGATTCTAGCAGTAGAATAGAAACCTTCCTGTGGGTTGCTGGTCTGGTGGACACCTTGCTTGAATCTGAATAGTGGGAGTGCAAAGCACTTCAGAGAGAAGTCTGTGGCTTGGAGCAGGCTCTGTTCTCAGCTGTCTGTACCAGAAGGTATCCTGCACAGCTAAGCTAGGTTGTGAGAGCATCCTGGTGACCAGACAAGAAGCAATGTGCTGTGGATGGAGTCACTGGTGGGGGGGATTCGTACTGGGAGGTGGTGTTGTCTTCCAGTCTCCATAGCTGTGTAGCTGCCCTGGCCATGTGCTCAGGAAGCTCTCATCACAGAAGAGACCTTCCTTCCTTTTCACTGAAGAGTTGTATATTGTGTGGTTTTTAGCTTTGACAAGTTCTGTTGCTTAAAAAAACGTGATGTAATTTTTCTTCATCATGGCCATTCTGGCAGGTGATTTTGTTTAAAAACATATTTTCCAAAAGTTTTATGTGCTTCTGGTTCACTTAGGAAGAGGTCTACCATCCTGTGCAAGAGTCCAGGCAGGGGGAGAAAAAATTCCTGGAGCCGTGACTTCACGCCTGCTTCGTGATTAAAATATGAATGCTTTCCTTTAAAGTCTAAGGCATTCTTAAGAGTGCTCTCCTTACAAAGCACAAGATGAATCTGTACTCTGGTTTTCATATATTATCTCATAACAGGGCTCCCAGCTGCCTGATTCCAAGGAGACCTCACAGAAATAAATACTTACCCTTTTGTTCAAGTACAGCATTTGCAAAGACTTCACACAGCTCCTTTGAAAGAAGCAGAGTTGAGCTGGTTATGCCATTCACATGTCACTGAATGCCATCCCCAGCTTCGGGGGGAGCTATGAAACCTCTGCATTTTATTCTGCTTTCAGACTTCTGTCTTGGAGGGAGGGGAATATCAATGCAAATTTTAATTTGAATATATCTGTGTAATATTTTAAATCCCTCCTTGTTCAGGAGAGCTTTCCTTGTATTGCCCTCAGAGGAATGCAGCAGCAGAAGCTGTTAACCCATCTCTCTAGAGATCCTCTGTTTACTTACAGCCAAGTGATGTTCTTTTCTTCCTTTCCAGCTGCTAAATTGATCAAAGCACATAACTTTTCTAATCTTTTCCATGTAGACAACTGCCGTTTCTGCCACAGAGTTGCTGTGATTGCCACGCAAAGGGAAGGCCTCCACCAGATGTTCCCTCTTTAGATGTGTTTCAGATGCTGAAAACTTGTGTGGTGGTGAACGGAGGCAAAGTGAGGGAAAGCCAGGGTGCCTTTTAGATTAAATAGCTCATTTCCTTGCCACATATCTCTGACAATTCTGGTCATGTATTTGCCTTCTGCATTGCCTCCCTTTGACTTTTCAGCTGCGCCTGATGAAGCCAGGGAAGGGGTTTTCCCCCCCTTGAGAATAGAGGCAAAGGCAGGTACTTTCAAGGTTTCAACAACTTTCTTCTGGAGGTGTTCTGTGGCTGTTATTTCACACTCTCATCCCCTGTGGTTCTTAATCTTGAAAACAACTTGCAGACTTTCTTCCTGGGGCTGCTGTGTCTGGGGATGATGTAGAGCTGATTCAGAGCTCCTGCCTGGAGCTGAGGAGTAGAAGAGAAGGTGTCAAGTTGTTGCCAGAGAGGGCTGGAAGAAATATATGACTTTATTCCTAAGAAGCTTATGTGCAAAGTTGTCACTCAGCACTGTGGGAAAGCATGTGGGAGTTAGTTATTGTAATAGCAGTTGTCCTTCAGAATTGGACAGATGCTGCTGGGTTATTACATTAATGCAGGAATACTGCTGTGCATTTTAAAACAATAGATAGAAGGAATTGGTTTGAGCTTAACTAAGGGTGACATGAGTGCTGAGCAGGGAACAGTCCAGTATATAGCAGGTGAAATGATGCAGCTTGAAACCTTGGTCTGTGGTGTGGCATCAGGATGTGCTTAACACCTTGAAGGGTTTGGCATCACCTTTGAAGCACTGAAGTTGATGCATCTTGCTATTTGTAGAAGCACATTGCGAAGATGCTGTGGGGTATTTGTTAGAACTTTATATTGTTTTTCTCTTCTGTTTCGCTCCAGGGTGTGTTTTCAGTGACTGATATTTGACCATATTGTGAAATGTCAAGTCGCTGCAGAAAATGCACCACATGAAATGTCAGCTTGTCTGTCTGTTCCAGGATGATGACTTGGAGGAAGGAGAAGTTAAAGACCCCAATGACAGAAAAGTGAGGCCACGTCCCACTTGCCGATTCTTCATGAAAGGTAATGACAGACTGTAATGGTGGAAAAAAACAAAGGTGCTATAATTTTTCTTGTTTGATTTAAACCATTAAGCTGCTGTCTGCATGATAAAGTCTGCCCCAGGTGTCCTCAGTATCACCTTTCTGTTCCTTGGCAACCAGATGCTGAATTTACGTAGAGCCAATATGCAAAGATGGATTTGCCCCAAGTGTGGTGAGTCTGATAGAAGCAAGTAAGGGAAGACTTGGAATCAAAGAATGGTTTGGGTTGGAAGGGACCTTAAAGCTCATCCAGCTCCAACCCCTGCCACGGGCCCAGACCCCTTCCACTGGAGCAACTTGCTCCAAGCCCCTGTGTCCAACCTGGCCTTGAACACTGCCAGGGATGGGGCAGCCACAGCTTCTCTGGGCACCCTGTGCCAGCGCCTCAGCACCCTCACAGGAAAGAGCTTCTGCCTAAGAGCTCATCTCAGTCTCCCCTCTGGCAGGTTAAAGTCATTCCCCTTGGCCTGTCCCTACAGGCCCTTATCCAGGTTTCCTGTAGCCTATGGGAGCTGCTCCAAGGTCTCCCCTTAAGGAGCCTTCTCTTCTCCAGACTGAACAAGCCCAGCTGTCAGGGTGCCTCATCTTTATGGCTTCATCTGGTCTTGCTCTCGCAGCTCCATGTCTTTCTTACTCTGCAAGTGTTCTTAAAACAGCATGGGATATAACTGCCTTTGTTGCTGTAACTTTTGTCTGTAATTCTTAACAGGACATTCCCCAAAGTTTGGGCAAATCTGCAACAGCTATCTTAGGCTATCCTGGAATTTTGCTTTAATTTAAAGAGTTGGGTTTTATAAAAGTTTACTTATTTAAACATTACAGGATAATAATATAATCTTACACTTCCTCCAGCTGCATCTCACTTCATGTTTGCTCATTTATTTGGTTTTATTTACAATCAGCCTCGAAACAGTTTATGAAAATCTGGATCAAAAGAAGGGTGGGGAGCAAGGTGGAGTCTCTTACTCCTTACATCAGTGGTGTAATGCAGAGCAGGGAGCTGCTCAGGGGGTTTCCAGAGACATGACCATCACATATCACGTACTCTGCTTCCTGGATGTCTTCCGGTATCGGATTTTCTCTGTGTGCTGTGACACAAAGGTGTTGGTGGTGATGGTGGTGGAACAGGGAAGTCCCTCGGCCACAGAGCTGTTTGTTCCTGAATCCTTAGCATGACACACGCCTCTGTGCAGCATGGAAATATTTGCCTGAGTCAAAGTTCAGGCTGCAGGATCTCCTGCCGTAGTTGTTCTTTGATTTGGTGTCACTTCAGGTAACGTTGACACTCGCTCCTGCTTGCCCCATAAAGGCTTTACTGCCACCAGGAAGATGAGGTGCTGCTCTTCAAGACATTCACATTTTAACCCTTGCTGTGTTGGAGGAGCACTCACATGGCTGCGTCTATCCAGTGGTGTGAGTGACCAGCTTGCAAAGCCTTCCAGAAAAGTAACTTGCTGTATAGCCACCTTGACATGAGCAGGGCTCGTTACTTGTCAGGGTGGTCATTCCTCTTGACACCCTCAGTAGGAATGTAAGTGTTGGTGTAGGTGTCTGACAGCCCCTACCCACGGTGCTTAGGCACTGAGAAGGGATGAGCCATTGACCAAAGGGATTTGTGCTCTTGTTATGTTTGACAGTACAAAGCATAGTGTTACTTCTGACACCAGCTTGTGGTTAGTATGGGACTGATGAGGAGCATTTCCAGGTACCGAAGTGCAGTGTGACTTTCTGCTAGCCAGCACTGGGGATTCTTCCTTGGGCTGAAGCAGTGTTAACGGCTCCTTTACCCCTCAATTAATGTGCTAATGACTGAGCTAGCACACAACTAGCAATGACTTTGTGATGCAGTTGTCTGTTGGGAGATCTGCAAAATGTCTCTTGCCTGATGTTGAGTGGATTGCTGGAAGAGAAGAAAAAAAAGGGTTTTGTTTCTGAGGCAAGCTAAATTAAAGTTGGGAATTAGCTTTGTATCCTGGTATAGACCCCCGAGTGTTACCATTTCTTTGGGAGTGGTACCTGAAGCTAATGAGCAGCCTCGGGTTTGTCTGCTGCACTCAACAGTGATGTCTCCTTTCCTACTTAGTGCTGGCAAGCCTGTGGATTCAGCTGGAAGGAGAAGCTTTGATATAGTTCCTGCCTCACCAGAGAGCTGTTCATTTTGAATGCACTGCAATGCTTTCTTGTCTGTCAGGTTTTATGTATTCGTTGTTTTTTGTAAAAGGTAAAGCTCCTAACTTGGAGTGTTTGTCATTAATAAGACTTGAAGAGCTCGTAGGCTTATTATGGTATTTGCCTAATGGTCTGTTTGCATCCATCCCTCCCTTCTCACCATAATGAGGTTCTTGCACATTCATCCATCTTTGACTGGATCTGTTTATCCTCTCTGGGAAGGTGTTGGGTGGTGAAGATCTTTCCATGTGAATGAAAACAGGTAAATCCCAACAAAATTGGAAAGAAGAAAAGTCACATGTCTCAAACAGCATTATTCCTTGCTGGGTTTTAAGTGCCTGTGGGGATCTAACAGAACTACGTTTCCACAGGGCACTGTACCTGGGGCATGAACTGTCGATTTATTCACCCTGGTGTGAACGACAAAGGAAACTACTCCTTAATCTCCAAGCCTGAGCCCTTCTCCCCAAATGGAGCTCCTCCCATCGGCCCTCACCCACTGATGCCAGCCAATCCTTGGGTACGGACATCTGTTTTATGGATTTATGGCTTCTGCACATAGCTTTTGTCTCCTGTTCTGGAAGTGAAGATGATTTGGGTTGGTTTTTATTTTGTGAGCTAATAACTTGGGAACATTAGTCACTATCCAATTCATCAGTTGGATGTATGATATTTTAAAAGGTTGTCTTGTAGTTGCTAGTAGAGCAGAATAATTTTCCATGTGTGTCCCAGCTTATGCCCTGCTGATACATCTCCAGAGCGTCTGGAGGTACTCTGGGGTAACTGGGTAGCAAAGCAGGAGTTTGCTGCTCAAAACTAATGTCAGGTGTGTGTCTTCTTCCTCTTCTTGCCTTTCCAACAGGGAGGACCAGTTGTTGATGAAATCTTACCTCCGCCCCCTCCAGACCCTCCAACAGAAAGTGCCTGGGAGAGAGGACTCCGGCATGCTAAAGAGGTAAATGCCATCCTCAGGAAGCATGCTGATGTCTCCTAAATCCAGTTGCCTGTTTCGCAAGAAGCTTTTTTTGGAGCATGTAGTTTCTTGTTCTTTCTAAGGAACTTTCCTTTTGCCTTTAAACCTGTTAACTGTGTCTTGTTGTATATCACAGTTGTACAGACAGGAAATGCTGACAACTAGGTTTGGTGTTTTCATATGACCATGAGCTAGGGGGAGTTTGTGGCCTTGAAGTCAAAACCTCTACAAAGCAAACCTTTCTAAGCTGGGCTAATTTCCTTTACTTCGGTACCTGTCTCTGTAGCATGTATCCATGTGTCTGATCGTTGCAGAAAATGGGGTTAGCATGTGTGAAACTTTCTTCTTCTGTTCTGAGCTGATGGAACAGTGAATTACATTTTGTACCTGAAGGAGAGTCCAGTGTCTTGCACATTGAGACCTGGGCAGAAGAAGGTTGTTTTAGCCAAAGGGCAGGTTTCTCCCAAGTGAAGGATTTTTAAGACTACAGTTTCTCTGGGTCTCAGAAATGCTCTCTTTACAATGGTTTTTTATATTATGGCAGGTATTAAAAAAGGCAACTATGAGAAAAGAGCAGGAGCCTGACTTTGAGGAGAAGAGGTTCACTGTGACTATTGGAGAAGACGAGCGTGAATTTGACAAAGAAAACGAGTTCTTCCGTGACTGGAATTACCGCATCACCAGAGATGTCAGAGATCCAGCGTAAGTCTTGGTTTTGCTACATGGAATAGACTGGGGGAAATGTAGTACAAGATGGCAGTCTTCAGTTAACTTCTACAGACTGGAGGAATGCTTACCTCAAAGTGAAAACAACTTCCATTAAGCAGCATATGCACCAGTTAAATGTGAGCTGCCTCCACTCACTCCAGTTCACACTGCCTTCATTTACAGTCATTTTTAAACCTTTCTGCCTTCAGTGTTGTTGGCACACTGGTCCCTCAGGGGCATTGTCTAGTTGTGCATTGCCTGTGTCACACCAGTGCATTCTTCCAATTGCTTTTCCTCTTGTTTTTCTTATTCCAGCCCATGAAATTCTTAAAACTGAAGCTGCAGAATTGGAGTAGGGTCCATGAGCTTTTGGGCAGCAGCGTTACTGTCTCAACTATCTGGGTGTTTATTTGCAAGGGCATTGGCACAGCAACTGGTCTTGAACATTTTGGCCAGTCCCAGATAAACTGTTGAGTAAGACAGTGGTCAGAGATTAAACCCTTTAGCTGCCAGGGCATAGCCTGGGCCAAAACAAACACCCTAAACTTAAGTGCTTAGATGATTGGGTTTTTTTTTTAAGGAGGTGAAATGTAAAATGGAGACCTCATACACACTCCTGTTATGTCTTGAGAGCAGGTAGGAGAAGGTGCAAGGGTGAATTAGTCAGCTCTGGCAAGCTTGGTTAGTGGTTCTCAAGCCAAGAAATCAAATGGAAAAAGATTTTTTGAGAGGACTATATTCTGCAGGATTACAGGTGAATCTGTTTCTCTTGCTCGTACATCCTCTGTTCTTCCTACACATACAGACTATGGAAACACTCCCACTCACAAAGTGTTGCAAGGCTTGATTCTGTCTTAGAGTGAATGAGTTGCAAAAAAAAACCTCCGGGAAGGAATAAGGAGTAGGTTAAGCTTTTGTCCCTTGATTTGCTGTGGAGTGCAGTTCTTTTCCCCATTTTAAATTCTGCAGCCTGAAATAAAACAGTTGCCTTGTATTAATTTTTTCCTGGGTAGAAATATGTCTGTTGTATTTAACAGAACAAGGTCTTCTGTTCCTCTGAGAAGGCTCTCAGTTGCACCTGGGACATATCATGAGTGCTCTGTGGGTTGACTGTACAGTATCTTTATTTTATGACTGTATATGGAAACTATCATCAGCGTTCTGGTTGTTTTGTGCTACTGTCTCGCTGATGCAGGAATTGTGTTAGGTACAGAACTTTCTGTTTTTCATACAGTCAAGGAAAATAAATGTTTTGCATGTTGCCAATGTTAAATAACTTAAATGGAATTCCTGTAAATTCAAGCATCTTTATTGTGGCATTGAAATATCTTCATTGCGTGTAAAGGCTAAAGTTATGATGATGCTGCTGCTTAAACTCCAAAAATGGTGATTTTTCTCACATGCACCTTATTGCACAGACTGACACCTTGCAGCAAACTAACTACTGGCATGTTAATAAATGCTTTGAGGACTGTCTTGTGACCTATGGAGATGTCTAAATAGTTCATGAATCCCTTTTTCTTTTTTGAAAAACTATAGGGAGGTGGACATCAAAGAAAACATTAACTATGGGTAAGCAGGTCTTTGATTCCAGTACTGTTGCAACTGTAAGAAAACGTTCCCTTTCCTTTTTCCATTGTACTTCTTAAAACTTCCTAGGCCACAGACTGCTGTCTCATCTGATGTGGTGGGCAGTTTAACTGAGTGGATGTATTTGATTTTTTGGGTGATACCAATTATTTGCCTAAGCATTTAAGCACCGCATTATCTAAATGCGCAGCAGTTAAACAAGTTAAATGATTGTTTACATGAATAAGAAGTCTGCAAAAGTTACAGGAAGGGAATGGGGAGATTTGGAGTTGAGTCTGTGTTAAACAGTTTTCTTTTTGATGTAGCTTGAGATTTTTTGTATCTCTTCGGACACCTGATGTCACTGAATCTAGACTGTTGTCTGGTTGGCATCAGGAGTTTCTTGCTGGATTAAATATCAGTGTTCAGGATTAGCTGGTATCTTTCCCCTGGCTTGTTTCAGACAAAAGTGGAAATCTTAAACCATTTAAAAGCACTGGAACAAAAATGCAAGTAGCAGCTTGACTTGCAGGGCAGCACTTACATCATAGACAGTTTTAGATTATTTAATGGCTTTTAAAGTGCGAAAGTGGGCCCTTTATTCCTCTTACGTACAAGTCAGAGTCTCATTATGGATAATGTGGAATTTGGGAACATTTGTTTTATATCTTAGCCTGCCACTGACTCCTCTGTGGCCCTGGAAGTTTCTTGTTTCCTGTACCCACCTCCCTGTCTTTACAATGGATGTGATATTTCTACTGCAGGTGGCTGGCAGGGATTGGATGTTGTTGAGTATGAACTAAAACCATATAATAATGTTAATAGAATTCATACAATGGAGGAAACATTGCAGATTTAAGGAGGGTGGGGTTTAAATCCCTTTTTGACCCGAAAGTTACTACAGTTTTGCAGGTGGGCAGCATGTGCCATGTGCTTGCCCGTTCATTTGTGTGCTTGGGGGGCCAGGGCCCATTTTCCCCAGGAGAATATGACCTGCAGATGCAGTTATCTTCATTACATGCAGTAATTCCAGGTATCAAGGCAGAGCATTGCTGGCCTGCCCCAAAGTTTAACTTCCCCAGTGGAATGCTCAGCCACAGCTCATGTCCTGTGCTGGTGGCAGCGGGATGCACCCATCATTTCTGGTGGCAGGGTGGGTAGGAGATCACCATCCGTTCCACTTCAGATGTGAGAATGCTGGAGATTAGTTCTGTGTGCATGAACAGAAAACACAGCTCGAAATCAATGAGGCAAAACATGTTCTGTTACATTTGCATACATTTGAAGTAGCTATAAAAAGCATTTTTACCACGTTGATTTGAAAGGCTGAATTTGGTGTTTAGCATTTTTCTTTTGTGTTTATCAAGAAAAGTTTATGCTTTTCTTTGATAAGCTTCACTTTAAAAAGCCTGTCTGTTTGCAGTATGTAGAAAATAAACCACTGTGTATGATCATGCTCAGTTGAACGTGTTTTTTCTTGTCACTGCACAGTGACTAAAACCTGAGCTAGAATACGTAGCGTTTCTGTGTGGGGACAAGGTGATGCTTCCCTTTCTAACCTTCCCTGTTTTTCATTGTAGGCTTGATCCCTATACAGATCCCTATTATGACTATGAAATAGAACGGTTCTGGCGTGGTGGGCAGTATGAGAATTTCAGGGTTCAGTATACAGACCCAGATCCATACCGTAACTACAGAGTAAGTAAGGTAATATGCCTTTCCGTGCTTCTCCTTTCAGCTTTCTTCTAGGTACTTCTGGTGCTCGTCGTGTTTCCAGTGCAGGGTTGAAACAGGCCTTGTGATGGACGTTCAAGATGCTTAATCTTACAGATAGTTAAATGTTGGCTTAATTACTGCACAGAACACACTCGCTCTGAGTGCCAGGGGTGGGAGGAGGTTCTGTTGCTGTGTGATGAAGGCATGTTTAAGTCGGGAAGATGTTTCCTCTTGCTGGCAGCATCTCTGTGTACCAGCCTCATACAGCCACATCTGCAGCCATTCTTGGACATGTCAGGGGAGTGAGGGAGTTTCCAGGAAATAACCTTACTGTGGTTTGCTTGTTAGTTATTGGGACAGAAAGGACTGGATCTGGATAGGTGTGCTTAGTGTGCAGACAGAGGTTCCAACATGACTGTCCACTGCTGGTGGAGTTCTGTGTTAGCTGATCAAGTCAGGTGAGGAAAGCCCCCAGCCAGCTGCTGAAATCCCAGATCAGTTGGTGGTGTAGTGCTGTAAGTTACTGAGCTCCATGAAAATAAGGCCATGAACCCTTTCCCTCCGCTTCCTTTTGCACTTATGGGTCATGTTGTGCCTCTAGAGTAGTGGCAAAAAAACAGTAAGGCCTGCTCAGTGGGGAGCATTTCAGTGGTAGAAGTAGAAAGTGGCTTTCATTTCGCTGGGAGACCTTGCTGTTCTGCAGAAGCAGCACGTAAACAGGAGCCTGTCCTCGCTATTGTTGCACATGCTGCACCATCAATTATTTTCATGGTGCTTGTTTGTACAGTTAATCAGCTAAACACGATTAGCAGTGAGAGTAAATACTTGTAAACATCAATACATTTATTTAATAAGCGTAATAAGCCAAATTAATCTTTGACAGTTGCCTTTGAAAATTACAGCTGTGATGAGTATGATGTATGCTTTGCTCCTTTCCACTTTCTGCCTGCTCAGCAGACAGTGTTGGCCAGCAAGCTCCGCATTTATCTGTCTCAACGCTTTGCTCTGACAAGGGAGGGTGTCTGTAGTTCCTTGTGGTCCAGGACCTTGGTACCCACTTTGTTAGGGGATGTTACCACACAGCGATTTCTCTGTTCTTTTTTGAAGGAAAGAGAGCGAGAACGCGAACGGGAAAGGGAGAACAGGCAACGAGAAAGGGAACGCGAGAGGGAGCGGGAACGGGAACGGGAGCGGCGCCAGAGGGAGCGAGAACGGGAAAGGGAACGGGAGCGCGACAAGGAGCGCCAGCGGCGGAAAGAGGAGTGGGAACGCGAGCGCGAACGGGTGAAGAGAGATGAAAAAGACAGGCAGCACAGGGACCGGGACAGAGACCGGGACCGGGACAGGGAACGGGAAAAGGAGAAAGAAAAAGCCAAGCCCCGGTCCCCGCTGCTACCAAGGTAAGTGTTGGCTGGAATTCAGACTTGTCATTTTATCTGCATTGTTTTATCTGTGGATCGTGAACCAGGGTGATGGTGATCAGAGTGGGGGAGATCGCTGTTGCCCGCAACTCTTCAGTAAAGCGGTGGTTGCGAGAGGAAGGCAGGGCTTTAAATGAGCCTTGTTGGCCACTAAGTGGAGCTAAAACACCAGGAAGAACCGAGTGTGCATGACCTGTCTGAAAGGAGAGCATCTGTCTTCTGGCCTGTAGGTATGGAAATGTTCAGCTTGTCCCTGTTCCCTCGAGGCTAGAGCATGTCTTGGGAGGCTGGCTGAGTCCCAATGCTGGGGGTGTCCTTCAGATGGTGGCGACTTTGACAAATCTTCTTTGATAAGAGGCAGGGCTGGTTTGGGAGTTTGTGGATAGCAAGTGTATCTGGAGATCTTTTAAGTTAAACTCAACAAAGAGGCTAGAAAATGGAGAAGGATTGTATGCCTTGAAATGAGTCTGTGCTAGCTGCTATGGTGGATCGTGATGTGGAGCCAGGTTTCTGCCTCGGACTGCCAGTTTTCTCTGAAAATCCTAGTTCTGACCTGTGTGTAAGAGAAAAGTGAACCAGGTAGCCTAAAAGTCTAGGAATTTCAAAAGTGATTCCTGTTCTGTTTGTCTGACAATTATTTAAGTACCGTGAATTCGGCATATTTGTAAAGCACTGTATAATTATCACTGCAGAATATAGAGCTTGTCTTATGAGAAACTCTGGTGTCACATGTGTTGTGGACACACAAACATGTGCATCTGTGTGTTGGAGCAAATTGGGGTGTGGGGAAGCTGTTTCCCAGGTCATATTTGACCTTCTCCTTCTGCCTGATGCCTGTGGTGTTTCTTGAGCACTAGAGGAAGGTGTGAAACATCATGAGCATGGTGTGTTTTAACAAACAACAGTGCTAAGGCAGCCCTGAATGGGTTGCTGCATGGAATTGTGTGGTTTCGGGTGGGAGCAGGGTTTTGTCTTGTATCTGATCCTAAATTTTTATTTGCATTACCAGAAGGAAATGTGATTTTTGACGGTGACCTTTTTTTTTTCCAAGAGGAAGTCACAGTTTCAGAACAGTTTGAAGGTGTCTTGTGAGCACTTTGGTGCCATAGCAGAGTGGTTACAGGAGTGTATTCAATTACACGCTACATTTAATTATAATCTTCACTTACAACCATAATTTATGCACCTTAATTACCACATTTGCTGTCGGTTCTGCTCTTGTTCAGTTAGTGCTGGAAGAGATCTTGCTGTCCAGAGCTATGTGATGATGATGATGAAAGTGACATCAGATGATGGACAGCTCAGGTTGTTAGTCATTAACAGTCACTGTGACTGCAGTCACTGCACAGTTCAGTGTGTTAGCTGCTTCTTCCTTTGACACTCATGGGGCAGGGATTTGTGGGAGCTTTTGCTGTTAGTGCTGCCCAGGGTTTGCTGGGCAGGAGCGGTGGTCGCGTTCCCCAATCTTGAATCCGTCTCACCCATGTAACCATGTGTGTGAGCTGAGAGATGCGATTTGTGGTGTTTGTGATACATGCTTTGTGAATACAGGTTCCCTACTTCTCTCCCATGGCCCCTCTCTAGCATAAGCACTATTTAAAGGAGCTTTAAAAGCTGGTGACAAGAAGCGTCATTTTTATGTTGAATAAGGAGCTAGTATTGAGCAAAAAGCTTTGAAATCTCCCCGGAAAATCTTAGGTGAGCACCTACACACAGTATCTCCTCCTAGGGAAGAATGGAATTAATGGCAGTACTTATCCCATTAAACTGAAAGCCCTGCTTGTTAAAGGCAGCTCTCCAAGTACCCTTAATGGTTCTTCAGTTCTTGCTGTTGAAACCCATATCAATGCGAACACTCTTACTGAAGCATTTACAGGTGTATGGGTGTTTGCAGAGAAAACAAAGCTGCAGAAGTAAGTTTTGAAAAAGCTTTTCAACAAAGTGAATACATGAGTCCATTTCTTTTCCCTTGGAGAAGACATCTCTCATCCAGCAGCTTGTTTCCCTACACAGTATTCCCCAGAAGCCTCCATCACACCTGCAGTGTGACTTGGCTCTGGACGGTGCCGTTTTGTCCCACATAACCTTTTTGACAGGCTCCAAACTTCTTTGTGGGAGTCGGAGCTGTCTCACCTTTCCTCTGAATACCTTCATGCCATGCTGCAGAGGGTCAGGTTTGGGACTTTGGGATTAAACAGCTCCCGAGTTTTTTTGATGTGTAAAGTGCTTGTGATTGCTTCACACTTCCTGGACAGCAGGATGCGTGATAGTGGCGTTGCACTCACCTATGGGTGTATTTATAGACTCCGGGCTTTCCCTAATTGCTAGATCCTAGCTTTTGGCAAGTCCGGCCTTTCCAGGCATCATAGTGCAATGGATGGGGGCTGGTTCTGCCCAGCTGCAGGCAGCTGCCCGTTAACATTCCTGCACCAAAGGCAGCACCGAGCCCACGCCGCCCTGCTCTTCACTTAGTAATGAGCTGGGGAGATTGAAAAACTGCTCCACAGAGGTTGTGCAACAGGCCACGAGCTTTGCCAAAGGCAGAGCTGAGGATGTCTGTAATTACAGGTAGATGCCAGTCTGTCCATCAGCTTGAAGCTCGCTCAAGTAGAGGCTGGAACAAACTGATGTACAGACTGTGGATTTGAAAGGATGAAAGAAAATGAAAAGCAAATAGCCAGGAGTATGGAAACAAATTCTCCTTCCATTATATTGAAAAGTAGGAAAGCTTAATCTGATCTCTAAACAACAGCAGAGCAGTTATGGGTAATAACACAGAGGACTTCCTGGCATCACTGGTTGCTACAGATGAGGAGGATTAGAATTTAACAACAAACAGTGATTATAAACCCTAATGGACTTGGTGGCAAATGCTTCTCCTTGAACCTTTTAAAAGAGGCTGCAGTGTTTAGGCTTCAGGTAGGATTGTCACGTGTGGATTGGGCTCTTCTCTTTGACAGAGCATGCAGTTGCTGCTTTGTGCTTTGGGTTGGTTTTTTTTGCCACCCCCCCCAAGCTTAAGATGAGCGCTCAAGTTTATGATCTGAGATTGCAATGCTAGTAAAATTGTTCCTCCCCCTCCTCCTCCTCCCTCCTCAGGCATTGAACACTTAAAACAAGCCAGGACACTTTATGATTGACTGGAGGGATAACTTGGCTGTCTGGCCTCGTGTTCCCCATCTCCAGAACGAGTTCTGATGCCCCAGGCTGTGACTGATTTTGCTGAGTGCAAAATTTCTCGTTTATATCTCTGTCTTGCCACTGTAGCTCCCTGCTGTGCAAAGCATTTTGGGGATAACGAAATGCCATGAAATGTTAGTTGAAGAAACTTAGAGCAGTGCAGGATGTTGTTACCCAGACTGCCAGACTCAGCTGCAAGCAAAGGCCCTATCCACAGTAGTATTACTTTGCTTTAATCCTTCTATTGTTGCATAGGTCTTTATCCTGCTATCACTCAAGTGAATCTGATTGTTTCAGGGTCACATTAAGCAACAGTCAGTGTCATGGGACCTGATAGCGGTTATATTTCCAAAGCACCAAGGGGTGTTGAGGAGTTGGACCCACTGGTGAAAGCAGCAGGCTCAGTATCATTGCCACATTTGCTTTGGTGGCGCTAGGTGGTCCTCAACCGTGTAAGGAAGAGGAGGGAAGCACTTCTGTGCTGCAGGTCTATGAGCTGGATGCTGTTTCCTTTGCAGGAGATGCTGTGGGCCCTGGTGAGAAGCAGCATGGCAAAACGAGCCTTTGGGTGAGGTCTCTGTCCTCTCCAGGCCTTGAAGTTTGTCCTGAAAGCTGACCTAAAAGCTATTTCCATGCAGACAGGTTTGGTCAGAGCCTATGATAATTCTGCGCTGGTGCCAAGAAGGGTGAGGACAAGGTGGCTGTTGTCTTCAGAGTTGTTCCAGAGGCTGACAGGAGGTGACAGCAGCTCTGAAGCTGCCAGGAAGGAGCAGTGTCTTGGTGAACCATGCCGTGATTATCACACACACAACGGTTGTTTTTTTCTGGAATGAAAAAGACTATTGATGGAGTGCACTTATGCAGCCATTAAGATACAGAAATAACACCTGCAGGCAGGGACACAGTGACATTTAAAGCAATGTCAGAAAGTAGCAAGTCATTAAATCCTTTGTAAAACCCTTCAAGCAAGGAGCACTGTGCTACTTTGCAGCTTCTGTTAAGGTGTCAGTAGCCCTCAATTGTGAGATGCTATATAAAGCTGCAGACCCTGGGACAAAAGATTATGCTATCACACTTGTGTTGTTTTTCCAAGCTAGCTCAAGTTGACTAGCAGAAGGTTGTTGTTAATCTCTGGGCTGAGCAAGTTAATAAGCAGGATAACCTGGAGTCTAAAATCAATGAATGCAAGTTACCCAGGGCTTGCAAGTTAGAAAGTGATGGAATGAGGTTGATTAGATAAAGGAGTGGCAAAAGTAAGGGAATGCAAATGGAGTGATTCATGACTCTCTATGTGTGTGATCATAAACCAACTGAACTCGTTTTTTGGAAGAATCTGTAATTCTAAGTGTTCCTGGGTCTTCATCATCTTCTCCAGCAGCTTCTGATGGTCTCCCCATGCTGCTGTCTGGTTCTGCTCCCTGGTTTTTGTGGGGGGTCTCAATGAAAGCAGCTATTACTCAAATAGAGCTAGGTGTTTCGGTGGGCTTAGCAATAGCATCCTATCCTGTTGCGTAAAGGTGGTGTGATAAGCTGGTGGATTTTGTCTTCTTTCATGTTCCCCTGTGGAAATATAGTCTGTTTCTTAAAAGAAATCCTCTGTTTGTCCTGACACAGGAGGGAGAGCAGGCAGGAAAGACAACTCTGTGCTCTTCCTGGTTTCGAGTCAGGTACTGGGAAGACCCTGCAGTGCTCTGAATAGGTCTTACATCCACGAGAAGCTACCAAGGGGGAAAAGCAGCCTCTGTCAGGAGGCATAGGTTTGCTCTCAAGGCGTCTGCACCTTCTCTGGGCAGCTTCTT